GTGGACTTCAACTCCCAGAATTCCCCAGCCAGCCATGCTGGCTGGGGAATTCTGGGAGTCAAAGTCCACCCATCTTCAAGTGGCCAAGGTTGCAAAACACTGGTTTAATGTGTATTCCAGAAATTTAGCAGGCTGAGTTGGCTGGAATAGAATCAACTAGACAAGGATCGTTCATAGTCATCATTCCCAAACTGCATGCTAAGGACCCCAATATGCTATAAATGACCTTCTTGTCCATTAACACTGAGCTAGAGCCTGCAAGTTTTATGAATCAGCTATCAGAACTAAGAAATGAAAGTTGAAATTAGAACAAAGTAGAACCAGCTTTGTCCTGAGTGAGAAGTATTATTTTGTCCTTCCTGTTGAAGAGAAATGTCTAGTACAGCTGCTGACAGCTGTCCTATTACTGTAGCATTGAATTCCCCCCCACCGTTTTTTTTTTTTTTTTGCTTACACATTGCTTTCTGAGGCCAGTGCCTGGAATAGCATCAAGTAGCTGAATTGAATTCTGGTTTTAATTTCTCATAATGCCCCTGATGAAATGCTGTCCGAGGCAGAGAAGAGGAACTGTCAGCCCTCCAATATACACTAGTCCAGACTAGGAAATGAAAGTCATGCAAGCTAATACTACTTTTATTATAAAGTTATAGGAACAGAATCATGCAAGTCTGAATCTGCTTCCCCCTCCCTCCCTCCCTCCCTCCCTTTATCTCCATGAGAACCAGGGAGAATCTTGTCTGAGAGACTTTCTCAGGTTACAGTTCTGTCCCAGACTCAGATTTCTTTTATCTGACTGTTGTCTTGGTTGCGGCTCTGCCTCTTGTTCCTCAAGTTTATTCCTTCTGCCTGTTACAGGAACCTAGAGCCTTCCAGAGGTTGCTGATATTCAAAGTTTAGCCTCCCTCATCATTGGCCTCATTGGCTGGGTATGCAGCTTAGGAACATCTGGAGGGCTTCCAGTCCCCTAGCTCAGCACTGGTGTTATGGGAAACTAAAATGGTAATGCTCAACCACCTGATGGTGCTGCTATGTAGTGCTGGTGGCTCATAATACAGGAAGACTGCATATAAAATTATGAGTTTCTCATATATTGTGCTACAATAAATAAGTAAATTAAGAAATGAAAGGCTCTTGTGAGACAACCACATGATTTGCTACACTGATGGAGCTGTAGCTGAATGAGAAATTATACCCAGCTTTGTGTTCTGTGACTTCAAATTCATTAGAATGACTGAGCCTTAGAGGAAAGTGCCTGCTATGTCTCTGCATGAGTCACTGTTCTAGGGCTCTCTTTTGTCTCCTCCCCCTGCTCCTTAGGATTGTTTGATGAAAGAATCGGTAATCCGCCCAGAAAACAATCAAGTTATCAACCTTACAACACAGTATGCCTGGTCTGGGTGCAAGGTAAGAGATTTCAGTAACTGTAAGGGGACTTAGTCCTCTAGATCAATGCTTCTCAACCTTAGCAACTTTAAGAGGTGTAGACTTCAACTCCCAGAATTCCCCAGCCAGCAGTCCTCAGATAGGTTCTCACAGGTCAGGAAGTGTGAACAGCCCAGTTCTAATTTCTATCACCTGTTTCTCCATGTGAGACTTGTTAAGAGATGGAAAGTTCTTTTCTGACCGGCTACCAGCAGCTCTGGATCTAAGACAATCAGGGTTTATAGAGAGTATATAGTCTACACTTAAAAAAAAAAAAAGAAAATTCTTCCCCTAACCCTTATTCTTTGCGTGATTTCTGTTACTTTGTGAATTTATCTACAAACTACATAATTCTGGCATTGCTAATTTTGTGGTGGACAAAGAATTCACACCCCAGTCTCCCTACTAAAATATGTATTCAGTCACCATGCTGGTTTTTGAAATTTCAGCAGGCATTGCTCATACCTTTTCAAGCCAAGCTCCTTCCTGTTTTTGTTCTAGTAAGAACTAAGATTTTGATTTTGGTATATATTGTGGCTGTTTCCCATAATATCACAGCATTTAGGGACAGGCATAGAAGACCCCAATTGGAACTAAATTATTATAAGTGGAAGTTTTGGTAGTGCTCATATTCACTTAATCTGATCTGAAAGCAAGAGAACCTTCTAGTATTACAGTTGGTGGGTGAGAACCTCTGGATGATAATGCAAATAGAGCAACAATATTTTGCTATATTTTGTGTGTTTTCTCATCCAGTTGGTGACAGAGAATTCAGTCCGGTATCTGAGCTGTGCAAGTGGGAGAAGCTTCCGTTCTGTCCGGGAGCGCTGGTGGTATGTGGTCCTCAGCAAGTGTGGGGTGAGTCTGTGCCCCCATCAGTCTCTGCCTTGATCTCTTCCCCCTAAAGTCTGTCCTGATGTTCACCCACCTCTCTCACAGGGCGATGGTTTGGAACTGGAATATGAGATGATTTTGACTAATGGCAAATCGTTCTGGACACGTCACTTTTCTGCTGATGAATTTGGTAAGTTTCCCTGCCAGGGTTCATCCTCAGCCGACTTGTGCACCTCTGATATTCAAGTTTTGAAAATGCTTCCTACAGAACTTTTGTTGGACTTGAGAAAAGATATTGCAAGCTCACAGACAGACAAAAAATAAACGATTTTAGCACATCATGGGAAATTCTCCTGAGCATCCATGCCCTTGCAAGTAAGATACTGGAGAAAATAATTGCTAAAATCCTGCAAAACAGGACTAAAATACTACCTATTCTATAATAGTCTGACCATTCTTGATTATGAATTGGGTGAGGAACCTGTGGTTTTATCTGTGTTGTTACATGAGAGCTCCCAACTTCCTTGACCATATCGATAGTTGGAGTCCAATGATAGAACCCCATAGTGTCCTACCCCTGCTACTAATCAAGGTTGTATGATTTTTGTTAATGTATCCATGGCACAAAATCAGTCAGTCAATCAATCAATGTATCCACATCCTCCTCCACAGTTCTCCCAGATGCAAGCTGATGTACCCCCATATAGTCCCAATTTCTATGGCGCTCATGTGGTATCCCAGAATCCCCTGCAACTCTGTGACAGTTGGGCCTTTGCTCTACCTAGCATCTAAATAGATGTTAAGGGGGTAAGGACCGGCTGCATTATCCTGGCAGTGACCTCAGCTAGGTGTGGGAACTTTCTGTCTTTGTCTTTAATGCATCTGGACAAGGATAGACATTGGCCATAACAGCCAACCCAAATGACACCAGTTCTCCCTGAGAAAGAGAAAAAATCACAAATACGTTGGATATTTTTAGCCTTCGTGTGGAAATGGTTTTGCATCTTCATCCAAAGCTTTGTGGTACTGGTATTTTTTTAACAGAACAAAGAAAAAATGTAGAGCAATAGGAACAGAAAGAAAAGGAAAAGTATATATATATAGAGAGAGAGAGAGGGAGAGAGAGAGAGAGAGAGAGGCTTCTCTTACAGGTACATAAGTATATCAAGTTTTATACAGCAGTTTCAGAAAAGAATGACCATATTTGATTGTAATTGTCCATACAGAACTTATGTCTGTAATGGCTGTTGTTGTTGTTGATGACCATGATAGTAACTTAATAGAAAATACAATACGGTATATTATATCCCATGCATTCGGCTAAGCTGTACTGAGTCATCTTCCTTTGGAGGAGAAAGCATAAGAGAATTATAGTTGTAGGTGAGGTTACCTGATTTACTTACGCTCAGATTCAGCAAGTGAGAAATAGATAGGCCGGCCAGTTCTCTTATGCTCTCAGCAGCTTCGGTGCGACTGCTGAATACAAGGAAGAGTTAAAAAAATACCACTCCAATGGCAAATTTAGTGTGTACTTTTTTCTTCTTCCTTCTTTTTCTAGGCATCCTGGAAACCGACATCACTTTCTTGCTTATATTCATCCTGATCCTCATCATTTCTTGCTATTTTGGCTGTAAGTACTAAACAATCTTTGGGCTTGTGAATTTTGTTCACAACTTCCTGTTTCTGACTGAATGTGACTCTTTTGGTGACGATCAGATTTGAGCAAACAGAGGTAAAGGGTAAAGAGATTTCTCCAATCTGGGTCAGGCTTCTGCTTACCAAGGAGCAAATGGGAACAGAAAATAAGGGCTGCCTGTTGCTCTTCCCTCCTTGTACTCTCTACAAGGCTTCATATCTCTCTGGAACTACAAATAAGGCTCTTTCACGTTGGCTCAGAATTCTCAACCATCCTTAGTCAAAAGGAAATTATCCACAGTAGGTCTGGCGTTGGCCGCCCCCTGCCAATCCCCTGACTTCCTTCCAAGTGTTTAAATTCCTTCCAAGGTAATGAGTGACAAAGTTTAGCAGATTTTACTCACCTTGAAGCTGCCCTTGGACGATACTGCAATAAGTATAGTGGTAACCTCAGTTCCTCAACTGAATAGACTTTGGATGCCAAGGACCAAATTTCCTTCAGGACATCCCCTTGAAATAGTGGACAAGATTGTTGCCTCTGGAGTAATCCAGATAAGGCAGTTAAAATGATGTTAGCTTTATGTTGCATAATGTCAGAATTATGCAAATGACATGCATGACAACAAATGAGAGAATTCGCAATTTAACAGACACTTTGGAGTATAACGGACGTGCCTTCTTCCCAACTGGTTGGTTAAATCAAGATTTCACTTGGGGTTCATACCAGAATATCTCAGGAGGACAGGGCTATTAAGGGGGTTTCGGCCCAGCTGGTGCAGTCCAACTGAGTGGCCGTGCTCCGGGTCCCCTTGATTAATCAGTGTCATCTTTTGAGACCCAGGAAGCATGTCTTCTCTGAGGTGGCACCTGCCCTCTGGAAGAACTGCCCCCCCCCCCCCGATCCCAGATGGCTCCCACCCAGATGGTGTTCCAGAAAGCTGGAAAGATCTAGCTGTTCTTCCAGGTCTTGGGCTGGAGCGGATGTTTAAGTTTGTGTGTTGTCTGGATTGCTGTCTTGTAACTATTTTGTGTGTGTTTTTTTAATTAATGTTCTTGTGCTCTTGTTTACGTTGTTTTTATGTTGTTTTTACTTGGTGAGCCACCCAGAGTTGGTTGGAGTTGGGTGGCATCAAAGCTGAACAAAATAATGAAATCAAATCTCACATATGAACTGGGGAATAGAAGAAGCCAATATCATGAGGACACAGCAGAAAAAAAGATGGCAGGGCACGTTTGTTCAAAATGGAAAAAGGTCCTAAGATGACGGAGATGAGGAAGAGAGAGATTGTGGAACGTGTGGCAGAGAAAGACACCCTCAGCTGTAATTATGCTTTTTCCCCTTACCTTTTGGGGACTCTTTTTCAGATCTGTTGAAAGGTCGGCAGCTTCTGCACACCACGTACAAGATGTTCATGACAGCAGCTGGAGTAGAGGGTGAGTTCGAGCAGAACATTAGGGACTGTGCAGCCAGTGAGATCAAGGGCTGGATTGTGCCCATAACTCCCAAACTGGAGTTCACACAACATGATAAATCCAAAAACCAGATAAATTGTTATTGCTGGGTTTGTAGAACATGCTATACTTAACAAAATAACCATGACATGCGTTAGCAGAAGGCCTGTTTCAGACAACTTGCTGAATCCGATGATTGGGTCCTACAATTAGTGAACCACGAACTACCCAATTCTATTTTAGCTAAGCCAAGCATGGTGTGGGAAACCAGTCTGCCTATATTTAAGTTCCTGCATTAAATATGCAGATTATCCGTACTCCAATATGTTTACTATGCAAGATATTTTGTTTCTGCTTGTTATGGGGAAAGGGAAACATTTAATCAAGAACAATAACTCATTTTCTAACCCCTGGAAATCTGGGGCCTGTAATTATAAAACTGCTGTGTGCAGGTCAACAATATAGTCTTAAGTTGTTATAAAACTAATGAAATTATCTATGTTTCAAAGAATCTTGAAAATAATATTTCTAGCAGGACTCTCGGGACTTTCCCCAGACTCCAGAGTTGTTTACGGGAGAGGGAATTCTTACTAAAATTATTTACATCAGTAGTATAGGTTTGGCCTAGAAGTTCAAAGTATTCTCCTCTGAGCTCACCTGCACTCCTGTGATTTTGTGTACACATCTTTCACTTTAAAAAAAAGATGCATTTTCTGTAATGCTTAACAAATTCCCATTTGTAAGCAACAGATTGCACCTAAATATTCATACTGGTAGCTGTATAAATAATTACAGTTTTGTGATTCCCAGAATTGCTTGGGAAAGTGCAGGTGGAGACAGGTGGCAATGGAAGAAATGAGAGAAAATGAAGAATGTCATTTAAGACCCAATGGTAGAAAGAAGAGAGAAGCCAGAGCTAAGGAAAGGGCAGTGACTGAAATCCCATCTCTGTTCCTGCTGTGTTACATGCTTGTCACCTGTTTTGTTTTCCTTCCCCAGTACTCAGCCTGATGTTCTTCTGCATATATTGGGGCCAGTATGCAAGTGACGGTATTGGAAATGATAGTCTCAAGATCTTGGGTAGGTTATCTGGGACGGGCCTTCCCATTTACCAGTTGGATTCACAGTAAAACATGATGTATGGAACAGCCACAGTAATTAATTTCACACATCACATGAAGGCATCAACTATGATTTACAAGCCATAATGGGTAACTTCACACATCATGCTGAGCTGTGACATAATTTGCTTTGTTTTGGTTAAGTATAATAAGTGAACTCAGCCACCTGTGCCAGGAACGTACAACATCTATCAGGATGAAGACCACAGAAGGCCTTGTGTGGCATGTTAAGGGCTGCATTTCATGGGAAGGGTCAGAATCCATTCTTGGCCCCATCTACAATTTCTGATATGTCAGGTTGAAAAGATACAGTCTGAAACTCCAAAAAACAATGTCATTCAGTGTAGATCTGCTGTTTCCAGATGGGTGGACTTCAACTCTCAGAATTTTCAGCAATTGCCATTGTGGCTAGGGAATTCTGGGAACTGAAGTCCATACATCTGGAGGCTGCAAAAATTTAGTAAGGCTGATTTACATTTTCCTTTTTCAGCCTTCTTCAGCCTCTAGAGGTGTTGGACATTTGGCTATATTGGGTGGGGGATGATGGAAGTTGTTATCCACCGTATCTGGGGATAACCAGATTGGTTAAGGTGGTATTTACAATATTAAGTTTTATGGACCAGTGTTCTGCCTCAGTCTATTCCTATGATGCATAGACTGTTCTGAATCTCTCCTTTCAGAAGAACCCTCTTACTGGCTTAGGTTCACTCACTATCTCCCTTTTTTTCCCCAACCCCAGCCAAGCTCCTTTTTTCTGTCAGTTTCCTGATATTCCTCTTGATGCTCATCCTCCTGGGAAAAGGATTCACAGTTACCAGGTACCAGCATAGCTGATGGGTGATGGGACATCAGATACGAATGATATGGTGGGATAACTTATAAAATAAAGCCAATGGAGAGTGAGGGAAGGGCTGAATTGGACAGGAATGGGCTTTTCTTATGCAGATTGTATAAAAGACTATTCTGAGGGGAGGGGCAAAAGGACTGTGCTTCAGCATCTAACTATTATACTTGCAAATGTATGCAATAGAGAGTTGCAGCTTCAGGAGAAGGAGAGTAGAGTGGTGAGGCTCTGGGAAGAAATAGATGATGCAAGAAACAGATCATTTCTTGCCACATCTGGACCCTTCATTATTCAAAGGAGGGTTGTAACGGGCAGAAGAAGGATGGAGAAGGTTGCTGGGTTAGGAAGCAAAGCATATTTCAACAATATTGAGGTGAACATTGAGAAAAAGCAAGAGAGACTGGGAAGCTGAGTGATGTTCAAAAGATCTGTAGCTAAAGTTATAGAAATAAGGAGTATTCATGGGGCGTGGCACGGAATTTGTGCTGCTGTGTTGTTGGCAAAAGATAATGAGGAGAGAGGGTTGTTAAGAGCTGTCTTGTGAGAAGCAGGGGTTCCTTTTCCTCCTCAATTCTGGCTCACGGCTCCCTGTTTGGTAGGGGTCGGATCAGCCACACCGGCTCCATCAAGCTTTCCGTGTACATGACACTCTACACCATCACCCATGTTGTGCTCTTTATCTATGAGGCTGAGGTGAGTTCCTTCCCTTTTGAGCCATGTATACTTGAGGGCCTCGAATGTTTAGTTTTGCATCTTTTGCATTCTGGTTATTCCCTAGATCAGTCAGTCCTTGTTATTGTGGTTCATGATTGCAACAATAGCTGTTGTTTTTTTCCCCCCAACAACGTGCTGGAACTCCTGACCACAAGCTTGTGCATCTCTCAGCTAGATGAGCCAAAAATGTGATTCAGTGTGAATGTCCTATATAGCTTGTCTTGCAAATCATCAGTAAAGTAGGGTAAAGCCTGTCTTTGTTAGTATGGCACAACTATGATTCGATATTCTAGAGGCCTCTGTAAGTGATTAGTGGGGAAATGATCTTGGTGTGGGTTCTAGCTTTTTTTTAATCATTACTTCCCCAAGTTGCTTACCCGCTTCCTTCCTTTTGGTGCTCAGTTCTTTGATCAGGCGCAGGTGCTGTATACCTACGAATCGCCAGCTGGATATGGCCTGATCGCCTTGCAGTTTGTGGCTTACATCTGGTTCTGCTATGCCATCCTCATCACTCTCAAGCAGTTCCCGGAGAAGCAACCTTTCTATGTGCCATTCTTTGCTGCTTATACCCTTTGGTCAGTAAGTTTAGAAGATGGATAGGGCAGGAAAATTATTTTTGGTGTCCTGTCAAACAATGTAACTGTTGCTTTGGCTGTGAGAGGTCTGGCCATGAAGGCTTGGTTGTAAGTTTAAGGATTCTGTGATTTTTGAATTTTAATCTGTTGTGATTTTATACTGTTAATGTTGTGGTTCTGTGTTTTTTTTTCTGATTTTCAGCTGCTATAATTGTATTCTTTTTCATTCCATTTTTTACATTTATTGTGGTTTGGGATTATGCTCTGAATGAAAAGGGGGAAATGCATTTGAAAAATAATTATGGATGGACTGGCCGTGGAGGAGGAGGCTCCTATGTGCCAGACAATGTAATGGCTGGCAAAATGGAGATTGCATCTCTGGGGGGTCAAAAGAAGCAGCTCCAGAAGGCAGAGGTCCACCCTGGTCCCAAGAAGAAGAATTGGAGCCTAAGGAGGTGACAAGTTGGGGTTTGTCTTCCCCCCAAATTGAAAGCTGAATTAAATGTAAATGAAATTAAGTGTTTTAGGCAGCAGGATCTGAATCTCTAGACAGTGTCTTTTTCTCTTGTAGGTTCTTTGCTGTTCCAGTCACTGCACTTATTGCTAACTTTGGCATACCAAAGTGGGCCCGGGAGAAAATAGTCAATGGCATCCAACTGGGGATTCATCTCTATGCTCATGCGGTTTTCCTGGTAAGAATTTTACACATTCGCGAGGATTTCTGATTCCTATTGCAGGCCTTAATGCTCAGCAACAGTGGCTGAGATGCTCAGCACATTAGGCTAGAGGGAAATGTGGTTGGACAGATTATGGTTTAGAAAGTTGGGGAAATCCTAGCTATTGTCTTAGTGTGCTATTGAACCAGGCCATTGTGCAAAGCCATAATTTATTTGGGCATGTCATGTTATGTGAAGATAGCAGTTGTGATTTGTTAAACTGGGTTTAGGGCTAGCAGGTTGTGTGAATCTAGCCAATGCAGAATATCTGTGCCCCATCAAATGGTGATGAAATAGCTTGTTGAAGAGGGAAGAAGAAAGAGGAAGGTGATGTCTTCGTAGAAGAAGGACTTGCAACTAAAATTGTGGGTTCATCCAGCTGTTAACTGTTTCCCTTCTTCTTTCTGCAGATTATGACAAGGCCCTCAGCAGCCAATAAGAACTTCCCATACCACGTGCGGACGTCACAGATTGGGATTGTCGAGGAGGCTGCAACAGGGGCCAAATTTCCACATCACGTGTATGGCAATGTGACTTTCATCAGTGACTCAGTGCCCAACTTCACAGAGCTTTTCTCCATTCCCCAGAGTACGGGAAGCAGCACCAGCAATGTGAGAATCGGAGAGGGTCTCATCTGAGTCTCCCCTTCTTTAAATGGTTATGACGCTAGAGCTTGTAAAGAACAGACCAAAAAAACCTCTGTGGTACCACACATCATGTCCTTAGGTGGCATTTTTTGTAAGAATGGTGTAGAGAGTAAGGGAGATGACCTTGATGGAGATATGCAAGGTCTGCCCTGGTGGATCTCCATCAAGGTCATCCTCCTTACTTTCTACAAATCGCCACTTGATTCTCGAAAGGGATGCTGCTTATTCTGAGTCTACTCTTTTGTAAGCCATGTGCAGCACAGATACAGTGAGCTCTGGGTTTCTATCACTGAGTGTGTAACAGATAATCAAGGGGTGACTTTGATCAGTCCTAATTAGAACAGATGTCCCTACAGACAGCTTTCTTCTGTCCTTCCTTCGAGCCAATGACATCTGTTGCAAGGATGCCATTTCTATGCTTCTGCAACATATCCCTTCCTTCTCTGTGTCTTACTCTTCCACTTTTCCCCGCCTAGCTGAGATGTTAAGGCTTCTTCTTGCTGTAAAATCCCAAAGCTGCAGATGGATGGTCCCCTTCTGCCAGCATTCTGCCCAGTTATATTATTCAGAGCTCCCATCCAGCTAGCTCCATAATCTAAAAGGCTCTCTATAGGGGAGGTGGGGTGTAAGATGCCATGCATGCAACTTACAAACCTATTTTAAACGTGATAACCCAAAAGATGTAATGGGCAACTTTTGTGTGACAACATCATAACACGTTTGTCGTTGTGATGTCACGGCGGCTTGCAACAGACATCTATGCACATACCTCCACTTAGCTTATGAGGCTTTCAGGGAGTCTTCCCAGCAGATACAGGTGTGCGTGAGCATTTACGGTGGGGGGAGGGGCACATGATGTCACATACCTCTTGACGTCATTTGCATCATTTATGCAAGGCCATCATGACGTACATGGCGGCATTGTACCAGATGTCTGCGGATGTGTGGTTCGTAAGACAGAACTGGTGGATTCCCTTCTTCTTTCACTAGACTAGATGTGCAATTTGCTACCCGCCACACTGAACACAGTGCAACAGCTATGCCTTGCTTTCTGCCCCTTGTTCTTGGAGTTCTCGTTCTGTTCGGTTTTGCCGTGCAAACCCAGACAAAAGCAAAGCCTGGAGGCATACAGATCTCCCTGCAGACTGCCATCAATACTGTTGCTTGTGGCTGCAGAGTAATTCATTAATTTAATCTAATGAATTTTTAAACCGCCTCACTGGATAAATGATCCTCCCTTGCTAGTTTATAGCAGTCAGCAAAACAATATGATAATAAGGTTACACAAAAGCATCAGCTTAAATTATTCAAAAAAACCCAAAACAAAACAAAAACCCATAACTCAGATCAAACAAGGAGTGAAAAATAGCCGCAAGAAATAAAACATTAAAATAGGGCACCAGATCAAATTGGTAAACTTAAAATTGCCTGGAATCCAAAGATTGTTCAAGTTTGTGGTATACTGTTGTAAGTTGTTCAGCCTGCGCTAAGTCTTGACAAGGATAAGTCTCTCCAAGTCTCTCGATTCTGTTGCTCTGGATTTGGTGGACGAGAAAAGGGTGACAAAGAATATTGTTATTTCTTTTCTGCCAATGTTCATTTGGCCTTTTTTCCCACTTTTCCCCCTCCAGCCCCGCAAACAAACAGAAGACACCTCTTCTGCTGATCGTAGCCTGACCTCTAACTGCGTGGTCACCACCTCAGAGCTCAGCGGTGCCCCTGTGCTGTTGAAACCATCCCTGGGGAGCGAGACCCAGCCTCCGCCCTACCAGCTCCATGCTCCCCAACTACACCAACATAACGGCTATACCGAGTATTTTAGCATGCATACAACTGGCGCCCGGCCCGTGTAAGGGTCTCCTGACTCTCTTTCTGGCTACCCTGATTCCTGTCTCGACATTTTCTGGGGCTCCCTCTCTCAGACAATGTCCCCCATCCTTGGTTTCTCTTCTGGGCCCCCTTTCACCTACGACAGCTTTTCCCTTTTGAGGTCCTGTCAAATCATGTCTTCTTGGAATACTGCAGACCCACTCCTTTAGCAATGATACCAGGAAACCAAGGGGACCAGATTGGGGTGGG